TTTTGAGATAAGGTGGATTTTAAAAAAATCAACTACAACAAAAAAGCTTCAGTCTGCACTATCTGGTGTCCCAGACATACATACATGCAAATATACATTTATGCATGTATGTATTCATGTTACAGATTTACAGTAATGATCCTATACATAAAATTAAATAATAATCCATACCTAAAACATCATTTCCTTTGACTTTGATGAGGATTTTGCTTCGGGTTTTACTCCAGCTATCACAGCTAGAAAAGCAAACACTTACTGCCTCACAAGGTAAGAATGGAGAGGTAAGGAAAGAAGAAATGTAGACCATGTGATTCTGCTTAGAAAATCAATAGCTATTTAAAATAGTACAATATTTTTCTTTAACAGAAAATATACATTCTTAAGCTTAGGTCCCTCTACAGACAATTGCACTCCATACTTAAAATAAAATAAAATGCAGGCATCAAAACAAAGGCAAGCAGTTTGATTCAGTAATGTGTAGGAAAAAAGAACAGAACAGAAACTTAAAATAGAAAATGTGTAATTAACTCAGTTTTAAAGTTAGAATGTTTTTAAACATTTATGTTATAACCTTCATGTACCCGTAAACATATAGTATTTTAAACCATTTGCATGACCAGTGTTGACTACATCGCATGCTATCTTTGGATGGAAATAAACTAAAAATTTTCACCCTTAAAAGACTAAGCATAATTTAATCATTGAAGAAAGAAAACAACCTTTAGAAACAGCCAAAGTTATAACTGGTAGGGATGTTATAACTGATTGAGATTTGAAACACCTTTGCAGCAGGTATTTTTCCTATGCATGGTAAGATAATAAACAGTCTCTAACAGGAAGAAACAAAAACATAAAACAGACTTTAAAGACATTGCATACTTCCAAAAAATAAAATCAATGGGAAAATTTTCATTCACTTCAAAAACATGAAATATACTGATTAGCCACTTTTTCCTTTGATGCACTTTTCATCATCACTAAAGGAAGATATTTATACTTGAGAAGAAAAGATTCAGCAAAATATTCATTCTTTGAAAGTATACGGTTCAAGTTCTCTGATCTTAATGTATGCATTTCTTATAGATCTGAAAACAGAAAAATGTACATATTCTTCAATTTTGATCTTAAAGTGAAACATACTGTAACTTATACATTTGGGTTTGCTTTAAATTATGTGCACTGCTGTTTGTAACAACACATAAACTCATGGAGCCATATCATCATATCACTTATAAATAGTTCTATAAGTGACTTTAAAAAACAATGTGAAAACTATTTAAAATTGGATGACAAATTTTAGATAAAACTAATGACATAATTGATTCGACTTAATAAACTGCCAACCTGAAAATTCATTTTAAATGTTTAATTTTATAAATTTTAAAATAGAATTTACAATTATAAAACTGTATCGTAGCTGAAGAGTATCAATACTGCGAATATCCCTGCTTTAATTTTAGCAGAAAGCAACTGCCATTGGGACTACCAGCCTCACTGTAGTTGTGACTAAAAAAACTGAACAGTTCACCTAGATTCAGCATTTAGAAAGAGAATAAATCATGTAATAATTACTGCATAATTAAATGCAGTTATGGATTTATTATTTTTAAACTAAATTCATATATCTAATAGTGAGAGCTTTGTAAGAACTGTTTTCATTTTCATAAACACATTTGATATATGTTTATTTATCCATTTGACTGAACAAACTAATTGCTATTGTAATGAAGTTACAGCAAAGTTAAATTCAGGCCAGTCCTGTTATGTGATACTACTTCAAATGTAAAAGGCAGAGTTTTAAGGTGCAGGAGTCTTATGCTCGATCTATATTCAGCCAGTTGCAAACTGGATTTGGGCCTGAACTTTTCTTCCTAGCAACCACAAACCAACATTTGTATTACTATATTAGACAAGCTGAAGTCCTGTAGGACTGGAGTGACTTTTTGGTGACTGTGGACATAACATTTCTATGCTTCATATGCTGTATGAAACACCCCTTCATTCTAGGCCTAAAACCTTTCAAAACACGTATGGAAATATTCTTACATCACAGGAAAGACAATGTTAATTAAAGAAATGTAGATAAATTTAAGTGAATGAATACATATATATGTATACTTATATATGTATACACACACTTCCATATATACACACATACACATATATATATTTCTTTTTTAAAATACAGATGGTTAAAATAATAATCTACTTAGTAATTAAACTCTGTTTTCAGAAATTACAAAACTGTAATAGATTGTCATCTTTCAAGTTTTATTTTAAGAATCTAACTTAGTCAGTACTTTTATTTGAAAGTATTTTTGAGTAAAGTTGACCTGATGTCTCTGACAATAACAATCTCACACTTCGCCCTCTTTCCCAAATAGGAATATAACTTTTTGCCACATTATTGGCACAAAATTACCAGAAGGTGTTGATAATCTAATGTTCACAAAATCAGATATACTGTTGAAATTGTGAGAATAAAATGTTTCATTACATGAAATATTGAACTAAACAATTGTTATTTCAGCTTTTTATTTTACCCCACTCTAAGACATATTTTTGGAAGGTAACCCAGAACCATGTCATGATATACAACAGTAATTGTGTCCAAACAGAAAAAAATAAAATAAAATTTATGTTTGACATGGTGTATAGTTTTCTGCAAAATTTTAAAATACTATAAATATGAGGCTGCAAAATTGCAGTTAAAGTGGTTGAATCTTCTATGGCAAAAACACCACAAAGGGAACAATTTTTATGAATAGTTATTTCATCTAATTCAAGGTTTTTGGACCAAACACATAGAACTAAATAAAAGCATGTTCTTAGTTCATATGGTCCATCATTCTCAGGAACTACATCTGTGTATGTGGATGTAAACTGAACTCCCCATACAATCAGGACAATATGGTTCTGAGATAAAATTTACAGTGCTATACTACATTAATGTTCAGTTAATTTGTCAGCAGATTGGAAACAGATATAATAAATTTTGGAGGTACAGAGCAGAACTACAAATATTTATCATTACTTTATTCAAATTTTTCACTTTACAAAACAGAAATGCTATGAGAATGGCTTATTTCAATGACAAAAAGCCAAACTCATAAAAGGAAGGTAAATGTTTTGTAACTTCCTTAAATCAATGGAATCCAGTTTTGTACTTGGACAACTAGAAGCAAAATGTGGCCCATTAGCTGTAACTTAAATAGTTAATTTGAGAACCATTTAATTACAAACTTCATTACACTTTATTTCTTTGTATATTCAATTAACTAAATGCCTCTGGTTTCCAGGACCTAAATGTGCCTCTTTTTGTTTCCTAACTCTGTTCTGTTCAGTGTTTTAAGAATAAACAATTATTCTAAAGCATAGCTGTGCTTAGCATTTCTGCAGTATTATCATATTGCTAGGTACTCTGAAATGTAGCTTAATAATGAACAGGAAAAAAAAGCAATATAAATTGTAAAGACTTCTGATATTTATACTAGCATAGTATTTATAAATAGATGGATAATCATAAATCTTTAAGACAGTATTGCTGGTCTGCAAGAAGACCTATGTTCTCTCATTTCATCACAGCAAATTGCAAAGCTTCTAGAAAGGTTGGGAAATTATGTAAATGACCAAGTAGTACGGCCACCCTGTTCAGAGTGCTGCTATCCTGCCTACTTCTCTCACAGAACCGCCTCACTTGTCTACTCCTCCATCCTCTTGTCACTCCTTAGTTTGAGGTTCTACATTTTCCAGAGCAAATGGATGCTGCAGAAAGGAGGTAAAAGTTCCCTGCAATCAAATAATCAATAGAAATGTGAAGACCATTTGGAAGCTGACAGCTATGGAATTGTGTCTGCCATTCACTCTTTCTCTTCCCATTTTTCTTCTTTAATGCCAGTAGTGCCAATAGCTTTTCAGTTCTGCATAAGGCAACCAAAGTTTTTGGCCCCCTCCTCTAGAGGCTGTTTTGGAGATGCTGTATTTCAGTATGCCATTCTTTAACCACATGAAAGGCTATTCAGGTTCCCTGGAGACACTGAACAATATAAAGAACCTGCCCTCTAAAAATGAAGGACCTCTTGTTTACCCTGTCCTTCAGGATGTTGTGCCTTAATGGACTCTGCCCCCTGAGAGGGAACCATATGCATTAAGCAGACTCTTCAGTTTCTGCAAGAAACACACAACACGCTGGTCAGACATTTTAGCTCCAGCTAAATAAAAGTCTGAACAACCTACAGAACCAGGATGTTACCTTCGTATTTTACCAGCAATTAGCTGTTCCTGCCTTTCCAGATACAATTTTGTTAAAATTTTGGTTTCCATGGGTCAGATGCTCATTTTTTATGACATTTTACCATTAATTTTGTTATATTACTTTATGAATTAAATTATTTGTGATACGAGAAAAGGTACTACCACTTCTAATGTATTTTCCTAAAAGGACTACTCCTAAGAATTAGCCATAAGCTTTATAAAATATTAAAACATAGAAAAACATTCAGAAATTAAATACTGCAGTATACAGAATCAACTGAACATGTTTTTACAACCTTAAGTGACAAAGTGACCATTAAAATAATGGGAAGTAAATCTAAAAAAAAAAAGTGTGAGAATTTGGGCTCTAGAAGTATAAAAGTGGAAGCTGCATTTATATCAGACTTTTAATTAATGACATGACTGAGATAGCATCCGGTGTTTCAAGTAGTGTGTAAGAATGTCTAGAAATTACAGGGTATATCTTCTGGGATGAACCAGTTGAAATTCATCTCATTTTATCAAAGCTGGGAGTAAAGTATGTAATAGAGAAAAAAGGGGAAAAGAGAAGGGGAAAAAAGGAGAGGAGAGGAGAGGAGAGGAGAGGAGAGGAGAGAGGTATCTTACCCCTAAACTCACCATCAGTATTTAGGCCATTAAAGTGGCAGAATAAGAAAAAAAAAAAAAAAAAAAACACAAAAGAAAGTACAAAGAATATTTTTTACTTCAAAAGAATAAATGCTCTATATTATAACAATCCATGTGTTGATTCTAGTAGTTACATTGAGAAATTAGAATTCCCTTCCACCTTTTTTCCTCTTTATCACAGAATTTCATGCACTTTTGAGATAAAATAAGAGGCCATATGAGTGATTCAATAAGTTCAATATTACTTGTCAAAAGAATAATAATTAAAAAAAAGAGACGGGGGAAAAAAAATCACTCTAATAACCAACCTAAACCAGTCTGATAAACAACCAGTTTTATAAAAACATACTAAATTAATATTCAGAATTCTCAAAATAGGGCTATTTCTTTTTTCTTCTAACACGTTTACCCCTTTGGTCAGCACTAACTCAGCAGATCATCATGCAAGTGGTTTCACTTATCTTGCTAACAAAACAAGGGTCATATTCTTATACATATATTTCTTCTTTGTTCAGATTATCCTGTTTTCAAATCAGAGGCACATCTCTCTTTGTCAAGTAATATTCCCATCTACTTTTTCTTACTATAATTTCTATAGATGATGGACCATGGTAGCCACTGAGTGGGAAATCCTGCTTCCATTAAAGTCCTCATTCACAAATAGTCCTTTCAGGTGTTTCCAGATAATTATGGACTAAAAGATATTATTTTGCACTATGTATCCCTTTTTAAGGATTTATCTTCAATAATGCACTATTTAAAGGTAACTGATGTAATTTCTTTTTTTTCTCCAGTAATGGAACCGATAATATTTTTTCTACTGAAGATGAAAAGTTGAAGAGATTTAAATTAATTGTTCTGATTTCAGTGTAGAATATTAGAAAAATTCTTCATTAACAGTTACCAAGTGCATGTAGAAAACATGGAAGCAGCAGAAGTACTGGCTTGTTAAATGGCAGCATCAGAACGTAAGCATAAACAGACTGCTGAGGCATTTCGATCAGCTATTTCTTACAAATCCAAGCATTTCCTACTCATTTACTCATTTGTGGATGCTGCCTCTTTGTGGCAGAATGCCATGTAAAATGTACGTTTCACATTAAGGACCTAATCCCACATTTGTATTGACACCTGTGGAAATGTGTCATATGTATCATACACTCCTGTGTATGATGAGTTTAGAATCACACAGGAAACATAATATATACACATGAACAGACACATAGTTTGCAGGACCTTCTCATTCAATCTTTACTGAGTCAGCCTTTCTCTTAGTGAATGGCAAAGCCAGTGAGGCTGAAAATTTTCTTACTTATACCCATTTAACAACAGCGTGCCGTCTACTGAGTTTAAACGGAAGGAGAACCAGGCCACTGGTTTCAGCAATAGTTATATAGGCAGTAATTCAAAATTAGGGCTCCAAAACTGCACCTCAGGCAGCAACATTCACACCTCTCACTATTGTCAATGTCTTCAGGAGATTGAGTGCAGTGTATGGAATAGCCATGTGTCATGTCTCTTGTGACAGAAGAACGCTCCTCATATCTGCATTTCAAACTGAAATAACACTCCACTTACTAAACTGTCCAAGCTAAATACAGTCATGCTTTTTTTTTTCTTTGCTTTTGCTCAGTGTGGGTGGCATAGAGGGAAGAACACATGCCAACAAAACATTTATCTTGAATTCCAAGAAACCAGTTATATAGCTTTGTTTTTTGTAGAAAGTGACAGATTGTACATGGATAGGAAAAGCAGAACAGAACAGAGTCCTTTTGCAATAAAAGATGTACTAGTGAGCAACTCTGCAAATGATATCAAACAGGATAAACTAATGAAGAAAGACAAAACCACATGTAAAATATCACTTATCCTGTTCCATGTATTAAAGAACACTTCAGTAATGAAACAAAATGTAAATATAAAACTATCCTATTCAATATGTTGGTGAAACACATATCCCTGTGTTGCTCTCTGACCCATGTTATGTGTGCTGGTAATTACCATATGTCATGTTTTGAAAATATGTTTTGCCTAAAAATGTTAGATCTTTCTTACAAGCCATAATTGCTAGTGAAGAGAATCCAACATAATAGCAGATGATTTTGGCAAGAAATTTTAAACTTCAGATACTCATTACTTCATGATCTTACATTTGAAATATTTATCAAGTGTTTATTCAGAAATTATTAAAAAATCACATGTGCTGGGATACATATGAGACATAAGTTGTCCCATCTTACAGTGATGCTGTGTTTATGAATATCCTTGCCATTGCCTGCTGCCCAAAGGGGTAAAGAGATTGTATATAGATGTGTACAGTCCATCATTTGGTCTTTCAGGGCGCCAGCAAACACGTGGATCTGTACAAGTGCAATTGTACTTGATTAAACAACCAGAAAATGGCTACAACAGTTGTAAAATCATTATATTTTGGTTAACTAATAAAAAAGGAAAAAAGAGAAAAAAAACAAAACACCTGACAAATCAAAACTGAAACACTTTTTTTTTTTTCCTGCTAAAATGAGTGCCTTCTTCATGTCCCTCATTAGTTTGCCCAACCAGATGCCTGAGCAGGAGGTTGCTAAAAGGTATATTTTTAAATAGAGAAACATGAATTTTTTCAGATTTTATGTCTTAGATTGTCTGTTAAGACTTGGTCATAATTGGCATTATCTGTAATGATTTAAAAGGTCCTTCTGATACTACATCAGCTTTGGAAAAAAGCTCTCAATGTAGCGCAACACTTTAAAGCAATCCACAGACTTTGGACCCCATCCTGAAAAAAAAAGAAGAAACACTTAAAACATCCCAATAGTTTTACTTGTAAGAATAGTTCTGCATCCTCTATCCTAATGTTTTGGGCATTTGACTAACTTTGCTCAATGAGTGAGTCTATGGGACTAGACGTATTGGTAAAGTTGTCCATGTGCTTAAGTGCCTGCAGGATGAAGGCCTAAGCTGGGACTCTTTCACAAGTAGAGATACTCAAGTGAGTAAGAATTTGCAGGATTAGGCTCTAAAATAGTGAAGGAAAGAGAAATGCTAATGTGCATATAAAAATAGGTGCTACAATAAAATATTTTTTTATATTTAATCAATAAGTTATTTTCACTAACCAGTTATGGATCATATATCTCTGCACTCTTTAATGATTTGTCCACATCTACAGTGATCCTTTTAAAGATCATAATATATTTTTTAATTCAAAAGTCCAGAAAGCATACAAACACATCCTTAAAAAAAGGAAACCTTGTATTAAAGTCGGGGTGTGCTAATCTCTCCATAAAAGCCATTTAGACTCACCCATGGCTAAAAGGGGAAAATGTGCGCTGTACTCTTCAACCAGAAAGAAAACAAAATTAAACAATGCCCGTATACAAAAAAAAAAAAAAAAAAAAGTGACCATGACTTTTGTACTTGTAACCTGAATATCACCTGACAAGACCCTCCTGCCACCTTCCCCAAGCACACACGGACACACGCACAATACCAATGATGTGCCCAATTTACACAATAGGTGGTTTCCTACTTGCACTGTTTAAAAAAAAAAAAATAAATAAAAAAACCACAGCCAACTGAAAATAAAATAAAATAAACAGCACACCCTTTCAGAATCATTCCCCGAAGCTGAAAAATCCTGTGCCAAGGCACTTCACCCTACAATAAAATGAATTAAAGGGGGGAAAAAAGAAGGGGGCCGAGGTGGGAGGGGGAGGTCGGCATTTACGTTTCTTTGTTTTGCGTGTGGTTGTTAAATACAAATACTCTAGAGAAGGAGCTGCTGTGGCTGGCGGGGGTGGGGGTGGGGGAAAAGGGGGGCTGTTTCTCAGAACTGGCTGAATGTGGTCTGTTTTTCCAGCACTTCGAGGTAGTCCGGCTCTGCGTTTAGTTTTGCTTTTAGCTCCAGGTACTCGTTCCTGTTGGGCTCCACATAGACAGTACTCGGGGGGCTGTAGAGCACCGTCTCCCGGAGCCTGCCGTCCCCCGGCCCCGGGTGCAAGTACTGGTGGGCACGCCTAAGGTCATAGTTGGGGGAGTAGGTGTAGGCGGCGGGGAGTTTGGGGTAGTCGGGGAGGGTGGAGCCGGGTGTGCCCAGCGTGGAGGAGGAGGAGTGTTTGTCGGGCTCCAAAATGCCCCTGTAAAAGCGGTCGGCGTCTTGCACCGGGGAGAGCAGCTCCTCCCGCGGCTCGATGGTGCTCACGCTGTACGCGGGGCTGCGCGCGGGCGCATCCTCCCCGCCGGGCGCCGGCGGCGGCGGGGGTGGCGGGGGCGGCGGCGCGCCCCCACCGGGTTGCAGGGGGTGGCTGCTGTAGGTGACCTTGAGCTCGTGGAGGTCTTTGTAATCCTCGCCCGCGTTGCCCTCCCGGGAGCGGTAGATGGGGTTTTTGCACATGTGGCCCAGGGGGTGCGGGATGTACTCGTAGACGTGGCCGGCGGGGGGCTTCACTTTGGGCAGCGCCGCGCCCCCTCCGCCGCCGCCCCCCCCGCCGCCGCCGCCGCGGTGGGGCGGGTGCTGCTGAAGATGGGGGTGGTGGTGGTGGTGATGGTGGCCGCCGCTGTAGACGCTGTACTGCATGTTGAAGGAGCTCACGTGGGGTGGGGGAAAAGGGGGGCTGTTTCTCAGAACTGGCTGAATGTGGTCTGTTTTTCCAGCACTTCGAGGTAGTCCGGCTCTGCGTTTAGTTTTGCTTTTAGCTCCAGGTACTCGTTCCTGTTGGGCTCCACATAGACAGTACTCGGGGGGCTGTAGAGCACCGTCTCCCGGAGCCTGCCGTCCCCCGGCCCCGGGTGCAAGTACTGGTGGGCACGCCTAAGGTCATAGTTGGGGGAGTAGGTGTAGGCGGCGGGGAGTTTGGGGTAGTCGGGGAGGGTGGAGCCGGGTGTGCCCAGCGTGGAGGAGGAGGAGTGTTTGTCGGGCTCCAAAATGCCCCTGTAAAAGCGGTCGGCGTCTTGCACCGGGGAGAGCAGCTCCTCCCGCGGCTCGATGGTGCTCACGCTGTACGCGGGGCTGCGCGCGGGCGCATCCTCCCCGCCGGGCGCCGGCGGCGGCGGGGGTGGCGGGGGCGGCGGCGCGCCCCCACCGGGTTGCAGGGGGTGGCTGCTGTAGGTGACCTTGAGCTCGTGGAGGTCTTTGTAATCCTCGCCCGCGTTGCCCTCCCGGGAGCGGTAGATGGGGTTTTTGCACATGTGGCCCAGGGGGTGCGGGATGTACTCGTAGACGTGGCCGGCGGGGGTCTTCACTTTGGGCAGCGCCGCGCCCCCTCCGCCGCCGCCCCCCCCGCCGCCGCCGCCGCGGTGGGGCGGGTGCTGCTGAAGATGGGGGGGGTGGTGGTGGTGATGGTGGCCGCCGCTGTAGACGCTGTACTGCATGTTGAAGGAGCTCACGTCGGAGTTGTTGGCGCTGGCGTGGTCACCCTGACCCTTCTTGCGCCGCTTCATCACCAGGACGAAGAGCCCCGCCGCCACGAAGACGGACATGATGAAGACCAGCAGCAGGCTGAGGATCAGCACCGAGAGGGGCACCGAGGAGCTGCCGCCGCCGGCACCGCCCGCGGGCGCGGAGCCGCCCGCCGCCGCCGTTCCGTTGAGGTGCACGGTGGAGGAAGAGGGGGTGGTCCTGGCCGGCAGCTGGCCCGGGGACGGCGTGGGCGTGGAGACGACGATGTCCGAGTAGTCGGGGCACAGCAGCTCCGCCCGAACGGCCCGCATGTCGCTCTGGGCAAACTTCTTAGGGGATTCACAGATAACCTGGTCCACCAGGACACCTGTGTTGAGCTGCTCCAACCACAGCTTCATGCCCACCACGTCGCAGGTGCAGTCCCAGGGGTTCTCGTGCAGGTCGATCTGCAGCAGGGATTTCAGCTGGTCCAGCACCCCACTCACTGGCAAGTAGGAGAAGTGGTTGCTCCGCAGGCTCAGCCTGTAGAGGGAGAGACCAGAAAAAATGTTCCCTGGCAAAGACCTCAGCAGATTGTTGTTCAAAAACAAGAGCTGCAGGTTGGGGACAGGTTCAAAGGTGCCCGCCTCTATCTCCCGGATGACGTTGTACTGCAGGAAGAGGTACTGCAGGCTCTGCAGCCCATAGAACAGCTCTGGGCTCAGCCGCTCGATCCGGTTCCCGTTCAGGTACAGCCTTCGCAAATTAGTTAAATCCCCAAAAGCCCGGTCCTGAATGACCGAGATCCGATTATTGCCCAGATGCAGCAAATCCAGCCCAGTGGCATCCACGAAATCTGCCCTCCGTACCAGAGCAATGTAGTTTTCCGTCAGATACATCTTCTTAGGATTATAGGGTTTGGGCTGCAGTTCAGAAATGCTCTCAATCTTCCTCTCCTGACAATTGACATTGAGGCCCAGGTCAGAAATCTGCAAGTTGCAAGTGCAGGCAGTGGGGCACTCCAAAGGCACCGGGGATTTGGTCTGGTAGGCAATGCTGGGGCCATAGTTGCTGTATCCCAGGTCTTTTGAGGGCAGGCGGGAAGTGGGGCGCACCCTCGTTCTGTTGGGTTGGCGGGTTCCTTTGGGGGGCTTCAAGGGGGATTTGTAAACAGCTGAAGAAGAAGTGGCCACGGAATTGACCGAGGCTGGGGTAGTGTGGAAATACCCAGTGGTGCTCAACGGCGTCTGCGGTCTCATTTCATAATCCGAGATGAGCCTCCTTGGGCAAAGCTCCTGCTTGGAGACTTCATCCAAGTCTCGACCATGCAAGCGGAAAGGGGTCTCACAAACCACGTCTCCCACCAGAGCAGAGTAGGAGATACTGTCCAGCCAATCCTTCAGTGCAATCAACTCACAAGAGCAATTCCAGGGGTTTTCCTCCAGCTGCAGCTCCACCACTTTATCCATGTGCTGCAAAAGGCCCACATAGGGCAACAGCTTCAGTCGGTTACCCCTCAGGTCCAGGTGAGTTAAGGGCACAAAACGGAAAAGGTTGTTGGGCAAACTGGAGAGGAGGTTATCATTGAGAATCAGCACCTGCAGCAAATGCAGTTTGCTGAAGGCATTGGGTTCAATGACGCTAATGTAATTATAATCGACCTGTAGGTATTCCAAACTCTCTAGGCCAAGGAAGGTGTCATCCCGTAAAAGTTCCAGCTTGTTATTGTTCAGGTGCAGCCTCCTTAAACCTCTCAGACCATGAAAGGCCCCGGTTTCGATGTCTTGTATATCATTGCTCCCCAGATGCAAAATCGAAGCCCCCGTGTAATTGACAAACTGGTTCGGGTACAGCCTGTTCAGAAGGTTCCCAGACAACAAAAGGTGGTAGACAGGGAACCTTGGTGGACTGATCTCAAAAAGACTGATGATCCCTCTGTTTTCACAGCTCACTGTTAAGATGCTGTCCTTCTCCTCACAAGGACACGCATTATCACAGATTTCCCCATAATACTCGATGCTTTCTGCCCACGAAAGGACTAGCGATGTTAAAGCAAACGCGATCGTCTGCAGCATCCAGATATGCATTTTTTTGTTGAGGTCCTGTTCCAAAGTTACTGTAGAGCAGCAAGCATACATTTTATTTCCTGTAAGGATAAGGAGAAAAAAAGAAAGTGGCATAATAGCATAGCCCCATAAAATTTAAAATGGACACAAAGTTTATATATATCTTCAGTGGGGTAGAGAATGGATTTTTAATCAAACAAAACCATCCTCCTGTCACTTCTAATTCCCACACTTCTGAAAACTGGATGACATGCATTGATTAAAAGGTTGATGGGCAACTCCTAGCAAGTCAAATGCCTGCGGTGTTTAAGAAGGTGAGGACACAGTAGGAATTGTTCTGGTTCTGTTTGTGTGGGGGGCATTTCAATGCTTCCTTGGATTTCTTTTTCATGACCAGCCCCATAAATATACATAAAATGGCTGTCAGTTCAGTTTCACGGTTCTAATTTAAGAGAAAAGAAGCACCATTTTACGAGGTTTCCCACCTCCCCTATTATCCGGATCCCCCTTCCCTTCAGAACCTCCCCAGTGAACAGCGCACCAAGGTCTTCCCCTCCTTCTACCTTGATTTTTAAGCAGTGGTGGAAATGCCATGGTATGAATCCAAAGAAAAATGCTCAGTGCTGAAAACGGCAGCTTAATTCAACAGAGAGAATACTGACACATTCTCCACACCACACATTTCTTAAAACTCTTTTATGATTTTTTTTTCTATCTATACATTTACAAAGCACACCCACACCCACACCGACGTGCACACACACACACACACACATGCACCCCCAGGTGACTTTTGTGGAGGAATTCTTCAGTAATGAGATTAAATATATTAACCTCCTACTTCAGTGCACTTACAGCTCTCTTCAGTAAGAGAAATTTTGTATCTTTACACAAGAAAATAATTTAAATTGATTTTATTATCTCCCCCCCACCCCCGAGCTATATACAATGTAACAGAGCTGACTATCAAGCAGAGGTCTTCAGTTCTTACACACTACACACACACACACACACACACTCAGTCTCTTAAAGGAAATGTTTTAACCACTCACCCAAAATTGGTGAAAAATGTAAAACATGCGGACCATCTTCAGAGTCTCAGCCATATCTGACATACCGCTTATTCCCAACGTTCTGCAAAACTAGCCTGGTAGAATTGAAGAGATCTAAATAGGTCTCATGGAAATATCTCATCGCCAACACTCCAAGCATCAGAGTTACTGATTATAAGCAGCGATGGCTGTCAGTACTCTTCATTCTTTAGGGGAGAAGACACCCAGGCTGATTGAAAGCCAAGGGGGGTGGAAGGGAAACCCTACCATTGACCTACGTCAGTAATTTAGTGCCTGAATTTCACCTAGCTCGTAACAAATCCCATTTCCATTCCTTCTTGCAGTCTTTCTGACTCCTGGCTTTCTTCTACTTCTACTAGTCTAAAATCAATATGAATAGGGAAAATAAATGCATTGTGTGTGTCGGTAGGGGAAGACTAATAAATCATCCAGGCTTAAATGCTGGGATCTTGGAGCAGGCTTGCATTTTCTATCGTCCACCTCAGAGCTCCAATCCTCATGCCACAACTCTGGTTTGAAGGAACGTATCTTAAAAACCGGCAAGTCTCAGTACTGCAAGAGATCTCCTGTGGCATCAGGTTCAAGGCTGCAAAACTAGCACTTGCAGCAAAGGCAGTCATGCAGCAAGAAATCGGAAATCTCGGCGAATCTCTCTCTAATTCTGACCAGACGTCAATTGGATCAGAATTAAAGCAAAAGGCTTCACTGCATAAAGGCAGCAGAAATCTTACTCAAAGGCATGTATCTAGCATATTCTTTCTCAGCTCGATCAGATCCATTCATCCATTAACCGACAGTTCTTCAGAGAAAAAAAAAAAAAAAAAAGCCATTGAAAACCTGCCCGGTCAGTGTTAAACTCCCAGGCATTTTACAACTTTAATTCAATTATGGCTAGTAAAGGAGGCAAATACAATATTCCCTCCCTCCTCCTTTTTCCCTTTCTCTGAAAAAAAAAAAAAATAATAAAGAGGGGAGGGGGATGGGAGGTAAAGAAAATAAAGTTGTAGCTGGCTATATGCAAGGTTGCAATCCCGCCCTGGAAACCCCTCTGTGATGACTGCGTGCTGCTGTTCGCCAGCTCCCTACAGAGGTTCAGAT